TGCAGTGGTTCACACCTGTAATCCCAGCACTTTGGGAGGCTGAGGTGACATCTTTATTGTTAATAAAGTGATGTGTGTTTGTGTATACATATATATATATATACACACACACACACACACACACACATCAGCTGCAGTGGTTCACACCTGTAATCCCAGCACTTTGGGAGGCTGAGGTGACATCTTTATTGTTAATAAAGTGATGTGTGTTTGTGTATACATATATATATATATACACACACACACACACACACACACATCAGCTGCAGTGGTTCACACCTGTAATCCCAGCACTTTGGGAGGCTGAGGTGGGCGGATCATGAGGTCAGCAGATAGAGACAATCCTGGTTAACACGTCTTTACTAAAAGTATAAAATTTAGCTGGGCATGGTGGCATATGCCTATAGTCCCAGCTACTTGGGAGGCTGAGGCAGGAGAATCGCTTGAAGCCAGGAGGCAGAGTTTGCAGTGAGCCGTGATCGTGCCACTGCACTCCAGCCTGGTGACAGAGTGATACTTGTCTCAAAAGAAGAAAACAAAAAACGCCAGGCATGGTGGCCCACTCCTGTAATCCCAGCACTTTGAGAGGCCGAGGTGGGTGGATCACCTGAGGTCAGGAGTTAGAGAACAGCCTGGCCAATATGGCAAAACCCTGTCTCTATTAAAAATATAAATAAATTAGCCAGGCTTGGTGGCAGGCGCCTGTAATCCCAGCTACTCAGAAGACTGAGGCAGGAGAATTGCTTGAACCCAGGAGGCGGAGGTTGCAGTGAGCTGAGATCACGCCATTGCACTCCAGTCTGGGCAACAGAGTGAGACTCTGTCTTGAAAAATATATATAAAAATAAATAAAATAAAATGAAATAGCATGCAAGAATGCATTAACCAGGAACCATGACTTGTGTCATGACTTGTGGGAGACTGAGGCAAAAGGATAACTTGAACCCAGGAATTTGAGGCTATGATTGTGCCACTGCACTCCAAGTGAGTGACAGGGCAAGACCTTGTCTCTTAAAAGACAGAAAATTTGGCCAGGTGCGGTGGTTTATGTCTGTAATCCCAGCACTTTGGGAGGCCGAGGCGGGTGGATCATCTGAAGTCAGGAGTTCAAGACCAGCCTGGCCAAGATAGTGAAACCTCGTCTCTACTAAAAATACAAAAATTACCGGGCACATTGGTGGGCACCTGTAATCCCTGCTACTCGGGAGACTGAGGTAGGAGAATTGCTCGAACCCGGGAGGCAGAGGTTGAGGTTGTGGTGAGCCGAGATCGCGCCATTGCACTTTAGCCTAGGCAACAGAGCAAGACTCCATCTCAAAAAAAAGAAAAAAAAAATACCAAAAACTAAATAATATTCTAGGTACCTAGATTCACATGGACGAAAGTTCCCATTTGGTAGTCCTACTATCTGTGGCTTGGTCCCCTAGCTCCCAGAGGAACCAAGGACTAGATAGATGGTGGGTGGACCTAAAGAGGATATGCCTGCTTTACACAGCAGCAGGCAAGCTCTAGGCCTCAGGACTATGGTGTTCCTTGAGGTCTTGGAGATGGGTAAAAATGTCTGTTATCTTGCCTAGATCAGCACTCATACAGATACAAATACCCATCCACAAATAAATGTCCTTTCTTCTGGGCTTTTCTCCCAGCAGATAATAGCTGGCAGGTAGTCCACTTTGTGTTACCCTGAAATTGTTGTTAGTCACTGAAAGCCAAATACTATTTCTCTAAGATAGCCAGGACCCTACATTTGCGATCTTCACTTCCTCACCTGTTGATGCCCACTCTTCCACTCACTAAAAACGTTCTTTTACTCTGAAAAAAATCACCCATAATCTTCTAATTGCAGAATCAAGGTGATGCTGTTCCATCTTTCTCTGACACTACTGACGAATCCTCCTTTATTTCCTTTGCCATCATGACACTAGTTTTCCTCCTACAACTCTGACCACTTCCAGAAATCGTCCTCAACTCCTCCCTTTCCATTACCACCCCCCAACAATCCACTGAATCACCATATCCTGTGGATTCTACACATTTCCATGCTCCATCCTCTCTTCTCCATCCCCACAGCCACTGTCTTGTAACATTGCTGTCCTGGGTAAGGGACACAGGTTTTTGTTTCTGTTATGAGATGGAGCTTCACTCTGTTGCCCAGGCTAGAGTGCAATGGCACAATGTTGAATCACTGCAACCACCACCTCCCAGGTTCAAGCAATTTTCCCACCTCAGCCTCCCGAGTAGTTGGGATTACAGGCACCCACCATCATGCCTGGCTAATTTTTGTATTTTTGTAGAGACAAGGTTTTGCCAGGCTGGTCCTGAACTCCTGACCTCAGGTGATCTGCCCTCCTCAGCCTCCCAAAGTGCTGGGATTATAGGTATGAACCACCATGCCCAGCCTGTTTTTTTTAAGACTGAATACTATATTTTATTTTATATAAAATTTTTAAAAAGTATTTATTTTTTGTACATGAATAAGTTCTTTCGTGGTGATTTCTGAGATTTTGATGCAGCCATCACCCAGCACTACTGTACACTGTACCCAATGTGTAATTTTTTTTGGTTTTTTTTTGAGATACAGTCTCGCTCTGTTGCCCAGGCTGGAGTGCAGTGGCACGATCTTGGCTCATTGCAACCTCTGCCTCCTAGGTTCAAGTGATTCTTCTGTCTCAGCCTCCAAGTAGCTGAGACTACAAGTGAGCGCCACCATGCCCTGCTAAGTTTTGTATTTTTTAGTAGAGACAGGGGTGTCACCATATTGCCAGGCTGGTCTCAAACTCCTGACCTCATGATCCTCCTGCCTCGGTCTCCCAAAGTGCTGTGATTACAGGTGTGAGCCACTGCGTCTGGCCTTTTTTTCTTTTTTTTGAGACAGAGTTTTACTCTTGTCATCCAGGCTGGAGTCCAGTGACATGATTTTGGCTTACTGCAACCTCCGCCTCCCAGGTTCAAGTGATTTTCCTGCCTCAGCCTCCCAAGTAGCTGGGATTACAGGGCTGTGCCGACACACCCAACTAATTTTGTATATACATATTTTTGAGACAGAATTTCGCTCTTGTTGCCCAGGCTGGAGTGCAATGGTGCAATTAATTTTGTATTTTTTTGGCGCGCCCCTCTAGTCATACTACTCAGGAGGCAGAGGCAGGAGAATCACTTGAACTTGGGAGGCAGAGGTTGCAGTGAGCCAAGGTCATACCACTGCATTCCAGTCTGGCCACAGAGCGAGATTTCATCTAAAAAAAAATGTATTTTTAGTAGAGACCAGGTTTCTCCATGTTGATCAGGCTGGTCTTGAACTCCTGACCTCAGGTGATCAGCCTGCCTCAGCCACCCAAAGTGCTGGGATTTCAGGTGTGAGCCATCGTGCCTGGCCCCAATGTATAGTCTTTTTTTTTTTTTTTTTGAGACAGAGTCTCGCTGTGTCACACAGGCTGGAGTGGGGTGGCTTGATCTTGGCTCACCACAACCTCTGATCCCAGGTTCAAGCAATTCTCTGCCTCAGTCTGCCGAGTAGCTGGGATTACAGGTGCCTACCACTATGCCGCTAACTTTTTGCATTTTTAATAGAGACGGAGTTTCACCGTCTTGGCCAGGCTGGTCTTGAACGCCTGACCTCGTGATCCACCTGCCTCGGCCTCCTAAAGTGCTGGGATTACAGCCGTGAGCCACTGTGCCAGGCCAAATGTGTAGTCTTTTATCCCTCATTCCCCTCCCATTCTTTCCCTCTGAGTCTGCAAAGTCCATTGTATCATTCTTATGTCTTTGCATCACAGGTTTTTTTTTTTTTTTTTTTTGTCATTGTTTTGAGACAGGATCTTGCTCTGTTGCCCAGGCTGGACTGCAGTGGTGTTATCTAGGCTCACCGGAATCTCCACCTCCCAGGTTCAAGTGATTCTCCTGTCTCAGCCTCCCAAGTAGCTGGGATTACAGGCATGCACCACCACACCTGACTAATTTTTTTGTTGTTGTTGAGACAGAGTTTCACTCTTGTTGCCCAGGCTGGAGTATGATGGTACAATCTTGGTTCACTCTGCCTCCCAGGTTCAAGTGATTCTCCTTCCTCAGGCTGCTGAGTAGCTAGGATTACGGGCATGTGCCACCACACCAGGCTAATTTTGTATTTTTAGAGATGGGGTTTCTCCATGCTGGTCAGGATGGTCTCGAACCCCTGACCTCAGGTGATCTGCCTGCCTCAGCCTCCCAAAGTGCTGGGACTACAGGTGTGAGGCACCACGCCTGGCCTAATTTTTGTATGTATGTATGTATGTATGTATGTACGTATGTATTGATTTAGCTGGAGTCTCGCTCTGTTGCCGAGGCTGGAGTGCAATGGTGCGATCTCGGCCCACTGCAGCCTCTGCCTCCTAGGTTTAAGCAATTCTCTTGCCTCAGCCTCCCGAGTTCCTGGGACTACAGGTGGGTGCCACCATGCCCGACTAATTTTTGTATTTTTAGTGAAGATGGGTTTCACTGCGTTAGCCAGGGTGGTGTCAATTTCCTGACCTTGTGATCTGCCA